GGCGCGGAATCGGGGATGCCGGGGGCAGAGCCGGACTATCGGAAGGGGGGGCTATGAGGGGTCTGGAGTGGCATCCTCCCCACCCCACCCCAGACCCCTCATAGCCCCCCCTTCCGATAGTCCGACATATCTGATAATTCGGCACCCCCTGGGTCCTAAAGGTGCCGGATTATCGGAAGTTTACTGTACCAATAGGAAAAAAACTACACAGATGGAAACCAGCGGAATGTGGCAACCCTGTGCATGCTCAACAGTAAGTAAAATGTTTTGTGGACCACACATAGAACTCTGGGGCCACAGATTGCCCACCAATCTGTTAGTTGAATAACAAAATGACAGCAAATAGAGAACCAGTTATAAAATCAATTATCAAGTGAATTACCAATTAGAATGCTACTTAGCAATTAGAATATCAATTTTTTTAAAAGTACCAATATATAGCATAAAATAAAAGCAAAGTTAAAATAATTTAATATAAAAATAGAAACAATATCTCAAGTCACCTGAAACTTTATTTTCAGAAATGTCATTATGTGAGCAATTTTGAAATTTCAGCTTAGAACAAAAATAAATGTTAAATGTCTGAATTTCCTATTGGATAGAAATTTCAAGTTTTGACCTACACTAGTTATGTGCAATATAGAAAAATTCATTAAATGGTCCATTTTGTCTATTAACGGAATATACCCTTTCCAAATATACATACAGGGTGTCTCCTCTATACATTGCCCTGTTATATGTCGATTCCACACTAACATCGTTGACACTTGTAGGAAGTATTGAGTTATAATAAACCTCCCATTCCCTGCTCTTACATTGTGCAAACAAAACAAACAAACAAACAAACAAAAAAGACCAATTCACACAAATGAAAGTCAGCCATGGGAAAAAAATTCTCCACTTTACGTCGTTTTGCTATACGTCCATGTTTTTTGGAATGTACCTTGGACATATAGCAGGGATGTCCTGTATATATCACATCTTCTAGTTGCAGCATCCATCAAACAGGGATTCTGTCAACACTATTGAGTTTACCTGGTTATTCACTGGCTTGTATTTTAAATCAGGTTTGTTCAAGAGCCTCTCTATCTGTTCACGGTTAAAGTTAGAGATTCCAATGGATTTTGCCAGTCCTGCATCCACCAGTTCTTCCAGAGCCTAAGGATACAAGAGAATTAGACGTTCTATATAACTAATGCGTATCTACACAGAGACATTGACTGGCATAACTATTGTGGAATAACTCCCCGTGTGGACACACTATTCCAAAATAAAAATAATTCTATTACAGAACAATTAGTCAACTCACAAAGCAGAGTAATAATTCTGAAATAATGTTATTTTTCTTTCAGAGTTATTCCAAAAAAGTTATGCAAGTCAGTTTTGACATGTGGACATACATGATAAGAAGTATTTAATTGATGTTAATTTGCCCATTTTCTTTCACAAAACCACATGATAAATGTCACGGTAGGGTTGCCAGGTGTCCGGTATTCTACCGGACAGTCCGATTTTGGGGCCCTCTGTCCGGTAAAAACATTTTCAAAATGCCCCCCCCCCCACCCCCTCCTTCCTCCCAGCTCCCCCCCTTCCTCCTGGCCAGCCCCGATCCCCTCCTGGCCAATCCCTCCTCCTCCCCACCCCCAATCAAGTGTGTCCAGTATTTTTTTTGAGACTACCTGGTAACCCTAAAAATGAGGAATTGAACCTGCCAAATGTGTTTTGCAGGTCCCAGAGTCTAGCTGAGAAAGGGGATGCACAAAATATAGCCCACTAAATCCTTCTCTTAGGAGAGAGATATATTTGATTCTTTTTTAAGAACAGCTTTCATTATGTGTTCGTTATCATTAGTATAAGCCTGCAGTTTTCATTTATTCCTATAAGTCAGCAATAAGGCTTGACTCATTCCATATGTGACATAATGGAGAAGAGGACTAGATTCTTAAATGTTCCTTGTAAATCTGGTGTCTGCAACATCATTTTCCCCTCTCTTGGGCTACGTCTAGACTGGCATGATTTTCCTCAAATGCTTTTAATGGAAAAGTTTTCCGTTAAAAGCATTTGCGGAAAAGAGCGTCTAGATTTGACATGGATGCTTTTCCGCAAAAGCACTTTTTGCGGTAAAGCGTCCATGCCAATCTAGACGTGCTTTTCCGCAAAAAAAGCCCCGATTGCCATTTTCGCGATCGGGGCTTTTTTGCGGAAAACAAATCTGAGCTGTCTACACTGGCCCTTTTGCGCAAAAGTTTTGCGCAAAAGGACTTTTGCCCGAACAGGAGCAGCATAGTATTTCCGCAAGAACACTGACAATCTTACATGAGATCGTCAGTGCTTTTGCGGAAATTCAAGCGGCCAGTGTAGACAGCTGGCAAGTTTTTCCTGAAAAATGTCTGATTTTCCAGAAAAACTGGCCAGTCTAGACACAGCCTTGGAGTCTTGGTCTAGCAATGTCAAGCACACATGGTACCTGTTGCTACTCTCGTTCAATAGCATTTTTGTCTGCAGCAGCCATGAACACATTTCAACTCAACAAAACAGTAGAGCAAGGGTTCGAGTACTGATTTGGTGATTTTAGAGAGCCACTGAGAGCAGTTGCCACCATTAAATGCATACAGTTACCTACTTATAATCTCAAACTGGTGAACAAAAGGAATCTCAATTTATCAATCTGAACCCACCTCCCATGTGTCCAGAAAATCTGTGTCACTAGGAATGATCATGCCATTCTCATCTGTCGGAAACAGGTCTTCTCCGGCCTGTCATTGTAAAACAAATAGCTTAAAGATATCCGCCAAGCTGAATTATCTATTAAAAACAAAAGTCTACAAGCGAGTGAGGGTGAATTTAAACAGGGTATCCTATCAAAGTAATTAGTTCACGAGGGGACTGATACCATGTTAATTAGTACAACTTGTTACGCCACGCCGAAATAAGACAGACGTTTGTCAAAGCCCTATGGAGACTCACAGACCAATCCTTCAGTAGGGAGCTTCCAGTAAAGATAGAAATAGATAAGAATTCAGTACACAGACATCATCAGGAGTATTGTAGAATATTGCAGATGGCCAAATACCTAAATATCGTGAGCCGAGATTTGGATCAATTTACTGTCTAATCAAGAAGGGTTGGAAATGTTTGAGAAGCAAAAAAGAAAATAAGGGGGACAAAAAAAACTACATTGTACAGGCAGTCCCCGGGTTACGTACAAGATAGGGACTATAGGTTTGTTCTTAAGTTGAATTTGTATGTAAGTCAGAACTGGTACATATTGTAGGGGAAACTCTAGCCAAACATTTCTCCAGAGCTCAGTTTTATTCTCCCACACCTCACTTCCCTCAGTCCTTTATTCTCAAGCTGAGGTGTCTGCTGAGAAAAGCCGCTCCGCATCTCCCTGGTCTGCTGTGGGGGGGCGCTAGCTTCGCGTCTCCCTGGTCTGCTGAGGGGAAGAAGCTAGTGCGGGGTTGCCTCACCCCGTTTGTAAGTAGGGATCCGATGTAAGTCGGATCCATGTAACCCGGGGACTGCCTGTAGTGCTACAGCAGCATTGATGTACCTTAAGAATGACCTTGCAAGATAGCTACTTCCTTAGCACTACTTCCAGAGGATACTGGGAGTGGCATCGATATGTCCTGAAGGAAGTGTAGTCTTCCTTGCCCAGTAGGAAGATAACTATGGCATGACTGCCAAGAACTCAAATAGAAAGGTTTAGAGGAGTTAAAGTCACAATACCTTGAATCCCATGGGCCAGTGCATCAGGTAGAGATCCAAATAATCCAGTTTCAGTGCAGCAAGGGTATTCTGGCATGCTCCCTTCACCAGAGATTTCTCATGACGTGTGCACCACAGCTGTAGAGAAAAAATAAAGCATGACAGTTAACCGCAGAAGCAAATGACAGCATGAAATATCACAGAAGGACAGAGGCACCTAGTGGGGTGGGTCTGGGAATATTATGCCATTCATGTACTTGGGGAATGAAGTTGATATGGGTATTTTCTTGCAGCTAATTTTTGTTAGTGGTGGTACATTTAACTACAGTATTGTAGCCAATGCTGTTTTCTTCCTCAGGGTCACTGAAAGCAGAAGCTGAGTTTCTGCACCATTGCTGGCAAAAGAGGAGTACACAGAAAAGTGCATTCTAAGCAATCATGAATTTTTAAAGTTCCTTTTTCCTTCCCTCCACCCACTTTACTGGACTACTGGGATAAAGAAGACAAAATTCATACTGGTTACAGTATTAAGGGGTTAATTTCCTGACTAGATTTATTCCTTGGAGCCTGCCTTTTGCATTATGTGATCTTTATTTCTCCTCCTGCCAGCCATCAATCTGACCTTGTACTTAGACTCAGGTAGCCAAGGCTGTACCTTACTGACAACAAAGAGGTCCTCCCGTGTCACAGCTCCCTCCTCAATTTTCTCTTGGATGGCATCCCCTATTTCATTTTCATTTTGGTAAACATAGGCACAGTCAAAATGGCGGTATCCAACATCAATGGCAAACTTCACCGCATCTCTCACTTTCCCAATGGAGGACTGAAATGAAAATAAAAAGGCAGAAATTTAAATAGTTGAAAAATATTTCCAGTTTTCCAGGGTGATAACCCCCCCCCCCCCCCCCATAATTGGGAAGTATTATTCCAGTAACATTTGAGTGACCCTGGTTTGGTACCTATTTTCACTATGGTTTATAGAATAAGACAACCAATGACAACCCTTGCGTCTTAAGACACTATGCTTGGCACTCACAGACTATCATAACAGGCATCCAAGAAATTCCATAGACAATAAGGCAAGATAGATACCAGACTACACACCTATTTAGGATGAAATCTAACCAGATGGCCAATCGGGTAAATCAAAAGGATGGGCAACTAAGGGGCAAATCTCAAGGAATGGGAGTCAAAATAAGATATGTAGATCATATTGCTCAACATTTGCTTTGAGAACACAATAACAGATTCCAAGATCTATAAATGAATTCTTCTGCCCATTGTCCACAAGTACATGCTCATGCATGGAGACATCAGATAGAGAGCATGGTGGGAGGAAAACATGATACACAAGTTTTCCAGTGTTTCCTGGCTGAAAGTTACTGGCCATGACACTGTCTCTTTAAACTAGTTCTCCACATCCCTGGTGGAAACTTTCATTCACCTACTTAACGTTTTCTTTGCCACCACAGTCCTTCCAAGAGTGGGAAATCAACAGGATAACCTTTGAAGAGCTCTGCTAAACTGACCATAAATACCAATGTTGAGTTACTTGGAATCAATACCTGGAATCGCTTTAAGTTATTATTTGCAAAGTGAGAAAAAGAGATGAAAACTTAAAAAATAACAAACAGTCCTGCAGCATCATAGGGTATGTCTACACTACCCCGCTAGTTCGAACTAGCGGGGTAATGTAGGCATACTGCAATTGCAAATGAAGCCCGGGTTTTGAATTTCCCGGGCTTCATTTGCATAAGCGGGGCGCCGCCATTTTTAAATCCCCGCTCGTTCGAACCCCGTGCAGAGTGGCTACACGGGGCACGAACTAGGTAGTTCGAACTAGGCTTCCTAGTTCGAACTACCGTTACTCCTCGTGGAATGAGGAGTAACGGTAGTTCGATCTAGGAAGCCTAGTTCGAACTACCTAGTTCGTGCCCCATGTAGCCGCGCTGCACGGGGTTCGAACGAGCGGGGATTTAAAAATGGTGGCGCCCCGCTTATGCAAATGAAGCCCGGGAAATTCAAATCCCGGGCTTAATTTGCAATTGCGGTATGCCTACATTACCCTCCTAATTCGAATTAAGAGGGTAGTGTAGACATACCCATAGAGACTAACAAAACATGTAGGTGGTATCAAAGCTTTCTTGGGCACAGCCCACTTCTTCAGATGAATGGCGTTTAAGGGGTCTAGATTATAAATAAATAGCAGAGAAAGAAAGGGGATAAGGAGGGAAAGGAAAGGAGAAAAATGGAAAAAGAATAGTTAATTAAGAGTTTACATGGCTATTGGAAAACACGAGGAAAGGCATAATCACTAGAAACCCTTTTGACTCCTTTACATAAACAGACCTGCTATTGAGGAGGTGGGACAGGAGGCATATGTAGACACAATGCAAAACATTATAGAAAGTGCCCCCATTTCTGGATAAGGCATAATAATTTAGGCTTCAATATCACTATTAAACCACTTAACATTCCTAGTTGGAAAAGGACACTGAAAACTTGATAATTTGCACCAAGTCATGTGGAAAGAGGAAAGACATTTCAAGTAAGAACTTGCAACAAAAGTAGAACTGTGCATAATAGACTTAACAATATCATCACGCATCACTTTTTTTAAGCATGTAGTTTTGAGTCCTGTTGATCAAAGGCTGCTTGGTTGGGGTGCTGGTAGTTGGTGGCCTGTGACATACAAAAGGCCTTCTAGCCTTAAATTATTTTGCTCTAAAACAAAATACAATCAACCTAACTAGTGTGTGGTAAAAAAATAAACAGGGACTTGTTATTTCAGACTCAGTCTCGTTTCTTACACAAGATTCAATAACTGTGGTTCTTTCAGCACCCTGGGAAAGCACAGGGGCTGTGTCTACACTGGCATGAATTTCCGGAAATGCTTAAAATGGAATACTATTCCGTTTTCAGTTTTTCCGGAAAAGGAGCGTCTACATTGGCAGGCTGCTTTTCCGGAAAAGCCCTTTTTCCGGAAAAGCGTCTGTGGCCAATGTAGACGCACTTTTCCGGAAAAGACTACTGGGCTGTCTACACTGGCCCTTTTCCGGAACAGTGTTCCAGAATAAGGACTTATGCCCGAGCGGGAGCAGAATAGTTTTTCCAGAATAGCGGCTGATTTTGTACAGTAGAGCATCGTTGCTTTTCCAGAAATTCAAGGGCCAGTGTAGACAGCTCGCAGCTTATTCCGGAAAAGCGGCTGATTTTCCGGAATAAGTGGCCCAGTGTAGACACAGCCAGGATGTACTAGCTTCTTCATGGTACCCTACTAGAGGCCTTGCAGGTCTTATCACACCCTGCCCAAGGAAGCAGCAGCAAAAATGAATCCTCCAGGGCAGCCTAGAAAGGCTATCTAGAAGTAGCCAGAAAACCCAATAGCCTTAGATAAAAGGATCCTAAGGGGCTGAGCGGGGCTGAGGAGATCAGTTCATGGATGGGGCTCGAGGGAGCACTAGGCCAAAGGAGCTTAATGGCCTCTATTTGCTAACCTGGAGATGAGAAAACCTGTGTGTTCTAGCCCTCAGGAAATGAATAGACCAGGTGGGAAGAGGCCCAGGGAATAGAGCAGCAACTAACTGAATGAATTAAAGAAAGCAGAGTATGTGGCTGCTGTTTATAGAGTCCTTAGGTTGGGACCAGGTCCTGCCACTGGCAAAGTGGCCCAAGTAAAGGACTGGATGTAAAAGGGCTGAAGACTGAGGGCTGACCATGTTGAACTCTTTGCTATTCTGGAGGGGGCTCATTCATTTGGCTGAGTGGCTCTGCCAGAGAGCTGAGTCACTGGTGGCCTTGCCTAGCAAGGTCAGCAATTTACAGAGGACACCAGGAGTAGCGGGGGAAAGAGACTCAAGTGCCAGACCCAGCTCACGGGCAGCAGCCAGGAGGTGGGTGCCCCTGTCCCAGTGAGTCACTATACAATATACTGTACAGTATCTAGGTCAGAGCTGCTGCACCAAAATGTAGCGTGAGAGCTCAGTGTGAAAGACAGTTTTGTTGATTCATTTGTTTTGGTTTTTGTGAAGAAAAACAAACGTGATAGAGCCAATTGTGTTGCTTGGCAGAGAGACCGGATTGGCAATTTGTGTTGCATGGTAACACAGCTGAAGAAATGGGTTGTACCCACAAAAGCTCATGATACCATCTACTTGTTTTGTTAGTCTTTAGGCTGCTGCTAGACAATTTGTTGTTTTTCAAGTTTTTCTGCAATATGAGACACTCAGAATAATCTCTTGTGTTATCTTACGTTGTATTCGCTGAACGGCAGTTCAGTTTGAGTACAGTGTGACTGTGAAAGAAAGATCCTATTTTAACACAGATGCAAAAAGAGACACAATTAAGGTTAGTATAGGAACACTAATGCTGAATAATGTTGACAAAATAACCCTACTGATTTTTTGTGGAAATAAACATTGACTTTTTCAATGCCTTTACAGAGGTTTTTTTGAAGGTGCCAAGGAGTTCTTAAATACTAAGCCAAAAATCTTTTTCTAGTCATCCTGACTCACCTACCAGGTGCATTAAAAGTTTTCACAATTCATTACTGACAACTCAGTGCATGCATGGGATTGTAACATACTTAAGAAGCCTCATTCTGAAAGGTACATGGGCATTCACAATTAACATTGAAGTCAATGGGAGCTGCAAGCACTTAGTGCCTTTCATGGTTAGACCCATATAGAGAAGGAGAACTGAAAATTGTACGTACAACCCTATTGACACATAAATCCCTTCTCCCTAATCCCAGATCAGCAGTGTGAGACCCTCAGGCCAGGAACTTGAAGTATCTATTTGTCTGAAAAGTACCAACATAACTATATATCAGAAGAGTATCCGTGTTAGTTTGTATCCACAAAACCAAGAAGAGGTCTTGAGGCACCTTAAAGATTAGCGTTTACTTGGGCAAAAGCTTTCATTGTCTTTCATGATGCATTCGACAAAGTGGGTTTTTCCATATATGCTTATGCCCAAATAATCAGTTAGTCTTTAAGCATAACTACAGTGATTTATAAATAAAGCAATATCCAAGTAGTTAGTACAAATTTCCATTTATAAATCCACTTTCTATTAATGACAATGGATCAGGGGTTTCAAACTCATGACCCACAGGCTATGCCTGGCCAGAGCAGTTGGGCAATCCAACCTAGGAATACTAGGGGAGAGAGTCCTGTCTGTTCCTACTCCCCAAGCCCCGCCTCCCTCCCCCCAGTATTCCATCCTCTGAGGAACGCAGTCTCAGAGATTACTGGGGAGGCCTAGTGCAGGGGCGGCAGCTGTGTGTGTGGAAGTGTCCTCCAGCACTCCTCGTGCTGGCAGGAGCCATGAGAAAGTGAAGTGTACTCACTCCATTTCGCTCTGCTTCCCTCTGGCTCCTGGCACCATAGGGACCGTGGGAGGGGCCAACTGCTGCTGCCACCCTGCACAAGGCCCCTCTGGTAATTCCTGAGGCCCTATTCCTTGGGGTGCCTTGGGGGGAGATGTCGGGGCAGTGATGGGAAGGAAAGGGGTAGGGCTTTGGGATAGGAATAGTCTCCTCCCTCCCCTCCCACCCCCCGGCCTGTTGATACTCCCAGGCTGGATTGCACAGCTATTCTGGTGGGATGGCGAGGGCTATAAATTTGAGATCCCTGCAGTAAATGATCCTCAAATTCATTCAAACAGATGAGCATTGAGTATAAGAAAATATCATATTAGGCAGTTGTCAGGGGTATCCGCTTTTACATCAAAGGGCAAATCTTCACAAACACCATACATTCAACACTCAAAAGATTTGACAAGTGCCTTAAAGGAAGCTGGAAATGAACAGTCATGTCTGCAAAATTTCAAGAGACAGTAGACTCTACGTAGGATTTGCATTGTCTTGGCGATACAGCCACAATAGGCTTGATGAACGCGAGCAGTTTCAGAGCGGCAAACAGGTTACAAACTCGTTTTGCTATAAACACATATATAATGCCATAAGAGTTGGGTCTCAATAATTACCTGCCAGGTTCCTAGGCCCAGGATGGGCATCTTTGCTTTTGTGCTTAGTTCCACGTAGCTGGTCATGGCTTGTCTGCTCCAATTCTCTTTGGAATCCAACAAGGTAAAAGAACGAGCAATCTCCTGGCAAAAGCCTTAGTTAAGTTCCTGCTCCCACGCACTTTCTGGTGATTGGCTGCAGATGGGCGTGGGAAGGAATAGTGAAGGGGAGAAACCTCAGAAAGTGGAGGTTTCACTTAGTCCCTCTTCCTTTCAACTCCAACCCAGGTTTTCCTCTTTGGAGAAGTACAAAGTCCTATAGAATTCTATTCTGCAAGTGTGCAATAGGCTTTGTATTTGTGCTTTTGTAGTATTTGAATTCTTTGAGCGTGTCAATAAGGAAGTGGGCAAATGTGAGAGTGAACAATAACAGTCCTGCTGCTTGGTTGCCTCTCTTGGCTTACTCTTCTCCCCTCACCAGCCAACCAAAAGCTACCTATACTGCTCTTCCTCTCTCCCAACCCTCAGGCTACATCTATGCTGGGAAGCTTTGGCAACAAAAGTGCTATCGACATGCAAAAGTTGCCAAAAGTAAAAACCAGTGAAACCATTTTTTCTGCCTCCCATTGTTGAGATTTCATGGCCACATTGCTAGCACCCTGATGACAATAAGAGAACGCAATGTGGGTAAGCATCCTACAGTGCAGTGTTGTGAAAAGGCAGAGCTGATGTGAGCTCTCCGTGCTGAGGAATGTCAAAGCAGCATAGCAGTCTCTCCAGCCTTCCCTCTGCAGCAGCAGTCTGCCTGGTGCTGTGTTCCTAGTGCAGGGCAGAACAGGAGCATTCAATGATTTCTTCTTTGTTTGTTCCCCAAATAGAGCAGCTCACTCAGCTGTCAGATATTTCCTGGAGCTTTGAAATGTGAGGGGCACATGGCTGCAGGGCAGCAAAGATCACAAAACACTGAGCACAGCCATGAGGGCAGGCATTGTGGGATACTGGCGGATACTGGCACTCAACAACACAAACAGCAGAGTCCACATTGGCTCTTTGTTGACAATAAAGGGAGTGGAAAAGATAAAAGTCTATCATAGGGCTGGAAGTTTTTTCTCACCAAAACTGGATGTTTTTCCCAACAAAAGTCACATTACAGTGTAAACGCTTTTACTGTTTTGTCACCAAAAGGCAGTTTTTGCTGACAGAACATTCCAGTATGGACAAGGCCTTAGCCACACAGTTTGACAGTTCACTCTTCTCTCCCCTTCCTCCATGGGCTAGCTATTCTTTGCTCTACCAATAGGAATGCAGAGATGTATTGAGCAGATCTGATAGCAGATCACTTTTTTCAAATTCATTGAAATGAGCAGTCTTGAGACAATACAATTGCTACAGATTTCATCATGATCTACCCTCATCTTCACATGTTGATAACAAATGCAGGGAGGAGCAAGCCTCTTGTGACAAAAGTGGAACAGTATTCCCTCAAAGGCTATGTCTAGACTGCAAGCCTCTTTCGAAAGAGAGCGTCTAGACTGCACGCGGAATTTCGAAAAAGCGGCTTGCTTTTTCGAAAGAAAGCACCCAGTGAGTCTGGATGCTCTCTTTCTAAAAAGCCTGTTTGCTTTCAAGAACGCCTTCTTTCGAAAGAGCACTTTCGAAAGAAGGCGTTCTTCCTCGTGGAATTAGGTTTACCACCGTCGAAAGAAAAGCCGCATTCTTTCGATTTAATTTCGAAAGAACGCAGCTGCAGTCTAGACGCAGGTGAAGTTTTTTCGAAAAAACCCCTGAGTCTGGACACAGCCTAAGATTCTCCATATATATACATATATATATTATGTTATGGAAGAAAGAATACTAAAACAGCCCTTTCCCAGTCACAAAGAATAAAAAGAGCTATTAAATCAGCACTTTCACCCATGCATCTTTATTATTATGATTGACCCTAAGTGCTAATGTACTGTATTTGTCCTGCAATGTGCTTATTCTCTGACCTTGAAAGGACAGAAGGACGATCTGAAATTCAGCCTGGGGAAGGAATGGGTTGGCTTAGGAATCCTCTTGGAGAATGGAGGTCAGTAAGCAGCACCTATGAAGTGCAGCCCAAAAAGGGAGCACTACCAATTGGTAAGGGCCTGAGAGGGAGACTTCAAGCCAGTGGAAAAGAATAGGGAAGCCAAGGAATGAAATGTCATCTGAGGAACTGTAGCAGGCACCAGTTTCAATTCCAGCACTGTGGGGAACAGCTGAATGATTGTGATTCCCACCTCACAGGATGAGAAGGGCCGTAGCTATCGTCGAGAGCCACCAGCCCAACACATATCAGCCTTAAAGACTTTAGAATACCTGTTTAATTAGGATAGTATGCTTGACAGATGTAGCTCTTCTATAGGAATATTTGGTGTGGGGGGGAGCACAGGCCATCCAGACCAAAAGAGTTATTGGGATCAGTAGCTGTTGTTCCAACTGTTAACCGTGTTATGTCTAATGTTATTTACCTAGCTCAGGGTATGTCTAGACCACACCTCTCTGTTGACAGAGAGATGTAGATTAGGCACGTCAAAATTGCTAATGAAGCAGGGATTGAAATATCCCGTGCTTCATTAGCATAAACATAGCTGCCGCTTTTTTTCGAAACAGGTTTTTTGAAAAAAAACAGCCGTCTAGACACGGATCTGTCGAAAATAACCCCTTTTTTCGACAGGTCCTGTATACCTCATTTTTTGAGGAATATGGGATCTGTCAAAAAAGGGTTTATTTTTGACAGAGCTGCATATAGACTGCCTTTTTTTAAAAAAATTTTTTGGAAAAAACTCAGTTTAGAAAAAAAACGGTGGCCGTGTTTATGTTAACGAAGCACGGGATATTTAAATCCCTGCTTCATTAGCAATTTCGATGTGCTTGATTTCCATCCTTCTGTCCACAGAAGGATGCAGTCTAGATGTAGTCTCAATGATCAAGTAACTCCTTTAAATGAAAGATTTACCAGTTTCATTAACCTATGTCTTTTAAATGAGCATAAAGGTCCTATTTAGTGTCTCCCTTCTAGGCACCGTCCTTGGGTGCATGTCCACAAAGCAAATCACTTGACAAATTTGACTCTCATAAATTACACTACTTTTGAAAATCTACTATCATAAAAAGAGAAG